GAAATTTATTTCATAACATTTACATTAACACTGTGTCAAGTCACAGATGAGCAAAAATTGAAAATTAACAAATTAAAAAAAAGAAAAAATTTCAAAATTAATTTAGAGGTTGGACACCGGACAACCACGGAAGCAATTTGTAGTTGCCCGAGAGAAAATCCAGTCGTCACGGACGACCGGACGACTGTTAAAATTGAGCCGACATATGATATCTATGAGCACATGCAGCCTTCATGACCTTCAGCGCATGGCAACACCGCATAGCAACAAGAGACGCGTCATAACATCGCCGCAGGGCGGCAAAAGTAAACGCTGTTTGAAACACTCGACCCGACACTTTCACTTTGTAGTCTAAAAGCTTTAAATGAACGTATTCCTGAGCAATTTTTTCACCTATCACACATATATAGGCAAGTACAAGCGTGCAATGTTAAAATAATTAATTTTTGCCTGATTTTATGTTTGCCACTTGAAAGTTCGAGGCAGGGCACCTTTAATTACCTTTGTATACATTTCGAGATAGGTACCAACTGGTCTATAAATATTTGCGTCACGTAAATACGTGCACTTATTTTGTGGGAGCGTTTGAAAATTCCATTTGCGCAAATCTGAAGATAGCAGGTGCAGGTTTGCTGTCCATTTAGTGTTTTATTGCCTATAACAGCAGAAACTCATAATAATTTTTACGCAGAAGTGTAACATCCCGGTTGACCTATTCCCATTTCACCTACTCCCATTTCGTCTACTCTCAGAACGGGCAGTAATGCCATTTCCTCGTAGTATTGATATTAAAACAAATACCAGGATAAATTAGTGTGGATGCCACTCCGTCTAGGATATGTATGTAAAATAAAACCCATATATTACATTTATAAATGATTATTTAGTGGACAAACTGATGGTAGACAAAATGGGAATGGGGTGGAATTTTAGTGTAGACGAATTGGGAGCAGGCGAAATGGGTGTAGACCAACTGGGAGTTCTGCTATAGACGCAATGGGAATTCCCCCATAGGCGAAACGGGAGTAGGCCAACCAGGCATAAACCGGGATACCATCAGTTGCATGTACACTGACAGGTGCTAAATCTGTCTAAATTTTTTATTTTTGTATTTATTTATTTGAGAAACGATCATTTTAACAGCTTGACATATACGTCTCCGAACTGATAGTTTACCTGTGTATTGGGACCGTTTACGAAATGCTTTAATTAGCACTTCAATTAGCAATTGGCAATGAATTGCCCGACATGCCTTCAGGAACTCACGGGAAGAACTCTGGATACTGTAACACTGTCTCTTCTGTTTATCTTAATATTGCTGGAGTAGCATTAAAAATATTCACTGTAATGAATTACCCGTACAATCACACAGTTAATGACTAGGGTCTACGTAATCGCTCTATCTTCACTGGCAAGAGTGTGACCATTTCTTTGCAAACGTCATATTCACCTTTCACCAAACTTTCCACTTCTGGGTACTTTTCACAATAACTAACCAAGAACTGATAGCAGTCAATGCTCTTCTCAATATACTCGATTCTTTTGTGAACGTCGGAATCGATGACTTTCGAATGCATGCGGCCCATGTAGAAGTAAGCTATCAGCACCGGACGAACATTATCGCTGTCAAACTGTTCTGGCATCACATCGTTCGTCTTAAACGAGTCGAGGAACAACTCGAAATTGCGAATGCACTCGGCGCAGAGCGAGTTGATCTTCCTGACGGCGTGAGGCGACGGCGTCGTCTGATGCTCCTCGACGATCGCCATCTTAATGTCGAGCATCTCGCCGTACGCCTCGGCGATCTCGTACATCAGCTGCCGGCAGATGAGCAGGTAGTGGCGCGGGTTGAGCTCGCCGAGCACTCCACACAGTGCATCGACGCGCCGCTTGTGCATCTTCGACTTGCGCTCAAAGTCCGGCTCAAAGAACGCGAGCAGCTTGTAGAGCAGGCTGGAGTCGCGTGCGAGCTCGGCATAGTCCGACGCGTGGTGGTAGAGCGAGTAGAACTCGCGCGCGTCTGCGAGCCGCCGCTGCGCGACGAGGAACACGCCGCGCGCCTGCTCGAAGTTCGCGACGCGCACGTCCGTCACCTCCTCCTCGTAGTGCGTTAGCTCAAGCGTGTCGAACACGAACCTCTCCTTGTCGTCGTCGTCGTCGGCCGATTCCTTCGTCGGCTGGAGGTCGTCGTCGTCGTCGAGGTCGGCGGCGACGCGGTCGCGCGACTCCTGCAGCAGTGCGGCGCAGTACTTCGCCCAGCAGCGCGCGATGTCGGCAAGCTTCTTCGCGTGCGCCTCATCCGACTCGCCCTCGCCCAACGACGGCGGCGACCTCTCGGCATGACCCATGACGTGGCTCGCACTCGCCAGGCAGTGACGCGCCTGCGTGAAGTCGCACTTGGCGACGTAGAACTGCGAGAGCACGGCGCAGTTGAGCGCCCAGTCGGCGGGATCATACTCATTCAAAATCAGCTGCCGCTTCAGCGTGACCTGACAGTAGTAGGCGGACTGCTGTGGCTGCTCCAAGTTATGGTGGACCTGAGCCAGATAGTATAACGTGTGGGTGTGACACCGATCAAACAGTTTCTGTCCTTGCTGCGAGAAAGTCTCCGCGTCGGTGCCTTTAAATATGTCACACAAGTCGAACGGTGGTGCCCCAACTTCGTCCGTATACTTTATGTATAGATTTTCTGCTTGTGACAAGTACTCGAGTGCATTACTGCATTCTCCTCGGTCTGCCCATAATATGCCCAGTTGGTTCAACGCTTTCAGTGCAGTTAGACAGGCACGGCGATCTGCTTCTCTTCCATCTAGCATCTTTAGGCAGTTCGTGATATGTTCCTCACCCGCAGATGCCTCCTCTGTCGACACGAAGTTTATACCTAGGGCCGCCTCAATACCGGCTGCGGCAAACCGAACTTGGTCTTGCACCGTGTCATTGACGAAACTAACCAAGTTGGCTTTGACAACAATGAGCAATGCTCTTGCCGCATACTTTGACTTGTACGGTTCTTCTGGTGGGTCCCTGAGACTCTCTTCCTCCTCTAGATGCCGAGCTTTTTCCAAATTTTCAAGCCCTTCACCTGACAAATACTGAGAGAAGTCTTCCATTTTTCCGATGTTGCACCAAAGAGTCAACCTTGTGGGTTTATTTGGCTATTTTGGTTGCCCATATTGCATTGCGCTCAATATGTTCACTGTCCATTTTACTTGCTCTAACTCAAGCCTAACCAATTTTAACGATTATATTTATAGACAAAATCCTATAACGTTATTTTGTTTGTCGCATATGTTAATGAAAGCTAATAAATGCAAAACTTGCATGTGGACTGCAATAAACTTGCATTGCATGCTGGGTAAAATTATTTTCTTCTATGTGTGAAACTACATGTTTTCCTCGCAACGACAAAACAACAACTACGGTTCTCGGTTGTTAGGGCTAATTCAAATAAGATCAATATACTCGATCAGCATTTCATGTATCAAAGAATGACAGAAATGGGTCATCTAAAAACGTAAGCAGACTCTCACTTTCGTATAATATAAATATGATGCAAAACTACTGTAACTGTAGATTGTAATTTGTAAATTGTAGCACCGCCACTGCACCTAGCTCTTAGTCTAGTAACGACCTAAGAGTCCGTTGTCGTAACAGGTACTACAGATATGTACGCCGAGGCTAGTTTAGGTTGTTTAGTATTATGTTTATATTTATTATATGAGGTATGTTTAGGGTTAGGGTTAGGGTTAGAAGTTAAGGGTTAGGGTTAGGATTAGGGTTAGTGTTAAGGTTAGGGTTACAACTTCTAGTAAGTACAAGTCTGGTACACAGTTGTGTATACATATATTTTACCTCGGCTACATATCTGTAGTACGGCTGTTACGAACAAACCGACCCCCTTGAGCTCATAGTAACGCTGAGAGGGTCTATGTCCGCCGCCGGGGTAACTCCGCGAGCGTACGCCTGGTATGCGACCGGTATACCGGAACGTACCCTGGTACTATCTAATATGCCCGGACCGTACCTCGCCTACTCGCACTTAACGAGTCTAGAGAGTCGCCTACGCCTACTCCCTAACCCTAACCGGGTAACGCCTAATCCTAATCCTAACCTAACCCTAACCCTAACCATATCAAATAGTGACCAGAGTACGTACCGGTATACCGGACCGTAGCCCAGGGTACGTTCCGGCAGTACCCTGGGGGACATAGACCCTATGAGTCTAGTAAATATAGCCTGCGTACAGTTCCTGCTGGTAGCGGCAACTGTACGCGGGCTATAGTTACTAGAGCTACACTGCCACTACAACTACTCACTAGTCTAGCGCACGAAGGTTTGTTGTCGTATCACTATCAGTATCGCAGATAGGGTCTATGTCCCCCAGGGTAACTGCCGGAACGTAACCTGGTAACTATAGCTGATATGGTTAGGGTTAGTGTTAGGTTAGGGTTAGAGTTAGGGAGTAGGCGTAGGCGAATCTTTAGACTCGTTAGTGGAGTAGGCGAGGTACTGTCCGTATAATTAGATAGTAGTATTAGTACCAGGGTACTTCGGTATACCGACCGTACCCCAGGGTACGTTCCGGCAGTACCCTGGGGGACATAGACCAGCGTGAGAAACTAAGCGGGCACCGCCCGCCCGCGCCAGTCGAGTGCGATTAGAAAATTGACCGGGCGACTGCTTGCTCGTGTCAGCTGGTCCGGCGGGGCGACTAGAGATAATCGCCGCACACACTGCAACGCATCAACGCATGATTCGCCAACACGTATAAAAACTCGCGACAAGTCTAAGAAATCGACTGCTACGCATCGCCGGTGTCACGGTCTGAGATTACCCCCAGTCTGAAATTACCCTAGCGCGCACTGCGCATGGCGCCACGCATGCGCACGAGGTGCTGGGTGTAAAGCGCAGTAGCAAAAATTAGCATTGTTAACTGAGACTGCCACCGTCACATAGCCATTTGTCAAAACTACGGACAGAAGCAGTTTATTATTGCTCTCTCCAACACGCCATATATCCGTACCACCCCTTTCAGCCGGCTGCACGGAAGTGACTATACACACAGGCGCCGTGTGGGCCAGATTCAATATAGCTATACGCACGGCGCCGTATGACCGACTCAATATGGCTAGGAAGTAGGAATGAGGAAGGGGAGAAGGGAGAAGGAGGAAGGGAGAAGGAGAAGGTGGTGAGAAAGAGAAGGGAGAAGCTGGTGGAGAAGGAGGAAGGGAGAAGCTGGTGGAGAAGGAGGAAGGGGGAACGAAGAAGGTGTGGAGAAAGGAGGAGGGGAAGAAAGGGAGAAGGTGTTGGAGAAGGAGAGGGGGAGAACTGGGGAGAAGGAGGGAGAAGGAGGGAGAAGCTGGTGGAGAAGAGGAGGGGGAGAAAGGGATAAGGTGGTGGAGGAGGGGGAGAAGCTGGTGGCAAAGGAGGAGGGGAGAAAGGCTGGTGGAGAAGGAGGAAAGGGAGAAGGAAGGGGAGAAGGAGCTGGTGGAGGAGGAGGGGAGAAGAGAGAAGCTGGTGGAGTAGGAAGGGGAGAAGCTGGGGAGAAGGAGGAGGCAGGAAAAGGGAGAAGGTGGTGAGGAAGGAGGCGGGGAGAAGCTGGTGGAGAAGAAGGAAAGGGAGAAGAAGGGAGAAGGGAGCTGGTGAGGAGGAGAGGGAGAGAAGAGAAGCTGGTGAGAAGGAGGAAGGGAGAACGAAGAAGGTGGTGGAGAAGGAGGAGGGGAGAAGCTGGTGGAGAAGGAGGAGGGAGAAGGGAGAAGGTGTTGGAGAAGGAGGAGGGAGAAGCTGGTGGAGAAGGAGAGGGGGAGAAGGAGGGGAAGCTGGTGAGGAAAGGAGGAGGAGGGAGAAGGGATAAGGTGGTTGAGAGGGGGAGAAGGCTGGGGAAGGAGGAGGGCAAGAAGCTGGTGAGAAAGGAGGAAAGGGAGAAGGAAGGGGAGAAGGGAGCTGGTGAGAGGATGGCGAGGGGAAAAGAGAGAAGCTGATGGAGAAGGAGGGGAAAAGCTGGTGAGAAGGAGGAGGGGGAGAAGGGAGAAGGTGGTGGAGAAGGAGCGGGGAGAAGCTGGTGAGAAGGAGGAGGGGGAGAGGAAGAAGGTGGTGGAGGAGAAGGGGGAGAAGGGAGAAGGTGGTGGAAGGAGTGGAGAGAAGCTGGTGAGAAGGAAGGAAGGAGAGAAGGAGGGGGAGAAGGGAGCTGGTGGATGAGGAAGGGGAGAAGGGAGAAGGGGATAAGGAGGGGGAGGAGGAGGGGGAGAAAGGAGAAGGTGGTGGAGGAGGGGGAGAAGCTGGTGAGAAGGAGGAAGGGGAGAAGGGAGAAAGGTGGTGGAGAAGGAGAGGGGAGAAGCTGGTGAGAAGGAGGAGAGGAGAAGCTGGTGGAGGAGGAAGGGGAAAGAGGGAAGGTGGGGAGAAGGAGGAAGAGAGAAGCTGGTGGAGAAGAAGAAGGGGAGAAGGAAGAAGGTGGTAGAGAAGGAGGAGGGAGAAGCTGGTGGAGAAGGAGGAGGGGAGAAGGAGAAGGTTGTTAGAAAAGGAGGAGGGGGAGAAGCTGGTGGAGAAGGAGGGGGAGAAGAGAGAAGGTGGTGGAGAAGGAGGGGAGAAGCTGGTGGAGAAGGAGGAGGGAGAAGAAGGGAGAAGGTGGTGGAGGAGGGGAGAAGCTGGAAGAGAAGGGAGGAGGGGAGAAGCTGGTGGAAGAGGAAAGGAGAAGGAGAAGGGAGCGGGGGAGAGAAGGGGGAGAGAGAGAGCTGGTGGAGGAGGAGGGGGA